TACAGCCTCTGCGAATATTGGGTGATTCTGATAATTATCACCAAATTACTACAAATGTTCTCTTCATTAAGATGATTTCTTTCAAGCGTTTTTATTAAAATGTGAATAATGCATTAAATGACGGCCTGTAAAAATCCCCCCCCCCCTGTACCAATAACATTCGTCAACTGCCGTTGGAAAACTACACAGACTAGATGCATGCGCGCGCCCGCATACACGTGTACACACACACACACACACACACACACCGCATTGGATAAGAATGACTGCCCAGTATAATTAATTAAGAGTTCTTTATTTCTCGTTTCAAGTGCCTCGGGTTTCTAGCTATAAAGTTTCACATCTACAGAATTCTAAACCTTGTCGGGTTTAGATCACACAGAGCAGATGAAGGGGAGGGGGAGCAAGTTATGACAGACCCATCCTCCTTTTTCGGGGGAGGATAGACAGACAGACAGATCCATTTGAAAACATACTGACCTCTTTTCTTTAATTCTCCTGGGGAGGGGGTGACATATAGGGAGAGGGAAGCTACCAAAACAAAAAACGCACGCCATTAAAACAAACTGCTGGAAGGACCAGAACAGATTCTCAGTGAACTAATTCCCAATTAACTAAGTAACTAACTTTCTTGTCACCTCGAACCACGCGCTTCACTAAAAAATCTTGAGCCAAGAACCTTCATTATATTGCCTTCTCCCTCCTCGCTATTTTTCGAAGCTGAATAGCAAGGCAAGAACTACAGAAAGGGGAAAAGGAAAGAAAAGAACCCACCTCTGCAAAATAAGAGTCTCTTATTAAAAAAAAAAAACTGTAAAGAGCTCTGCTGCTCTCCCGCTCTCATCCTTACCCCAGAAGAAAAGGATTGCTGGGTTGTGTTATTGTTGTTTTCCTTAATTAGATAATAAAAAGACAAAGAGGTATGCCTCTGGAACAGAGACAGTACAAGTTCGGGAGAGGGAGAGGAAGTTTCTATGGCATCTAGTGTTGTCTGCCCAGAAGTAGCGCTCTCTAGCTTGCATCTGGCAACACAATCCCTAGTACGTTTTCAAAGAAGTAAGTCTCGCTGAGTTCCACGGAACTCAGACAAGATCGATATAGTAATATTGCTTCCAGGTAGTCAGTTAATAGTGCATTTTGTTTGGTGGCTTGGAGTAAGAACGAAGGTTGAAACAAAGCTTTGTTTATTTGTTGCAGAGGACGCCGCCAGTCCACTTTGAGATATGCTTGACGCAAAGCGGATGATAGCCTCGACCTCTAAAACTAGTCGGTGGTGATGCTGCAATCCTATGCCCATTTTATTGGGAATAAGCCCCCTGGGTCTTCCTTCTGAGTTGGCGTGACCAGCTTTAACCAGGTTGTGGGTTTATTTAGCCGGTTTAGACTGAAAACATCTTGGGAGGGTGACTTATCCTCCCCGCTGGCCGGGTTCCTGCTTCTCCCTAATCCTGACCTGCGCCCTCTCCTCCATCTCTAGTTTGAGGACACGGACCCCTCTTGGGTCAGTGCTGGCGCTTTTATTTTGGTTGGGACTATGTTGTGGGGGGCGGGTGGACTCCCTCTCACAGAAGCTGGGGAGAGCTGAGCGAGGCGAACTGTGTGTGCTCTTCTGTTTGGTTTTGCGTCCTCACTATAGCAACCAACAGTGGGCTGACAAAAATGCACCCTCTCTGGACAATGGGCCGGCCTCCCTGTTTGCCTCCCTTCCCGTCGTCGGCGTCCTCCTCCTCCTCTTCCAAATCCTAGCAAAGAAGACACACTCCCCCCCCCCGCCTCCGCTCAGTCCCCGAGCCATTTTAACAATCTTCACAGCGCTCCTGAAACAGAGCAGGGGAGGAAGGGGGGTGTCCCTAATCTAACAGGCTGTCTCTCTCTCATCATCTTCAACACACCCACTACCTGAGATGCACACCCGTGGCAAAGTACCCGCGAGTAACACACTCAGGCAATGTACAGTTGGCTTTTGCGGCGATTTGCAACCTCGACCCTTCGTTACACTGAACGGGCTCCAAACGTGCTTAAGGCTGCAATCCTAATCAGTACTGAAAAGTAACTTCGAGAAGCCCCGCTTAGAATCGCAGTGCGCAGACCAGATGAGGCTGGTTCCTCCTGTAATACCCAGCAGGGTAAAGTCAGTTTAACCGGTTCTAGTTAGCTGTACTTGACAACTTTGTGCATCTCTCCCAGTCTTCTACGTGCACAATATGACTTCAAGTAGGCCACTGGCCCAGTCACTGAGTTTTGCGTTTATATGGAAAGCACAAGGGCCGCAGTCCTGTTTGCATTTAAAAACTTGGGCGCTGCAAGAGGGTCAGAGCCGTCCCCTCCTTTTAACGTGACATGATTTACGCATCGGTCTCTGTTTTGTTTGGTTCACAAAGGAGATCGAGGGGGCACATGCCATAAAAAAAAGCCAGAGAGAGCGCGAGAGGAGAAATAAATGACGCCCACCACCGAGTTCATTGGAACTGTCTTCGCAGTGAGCGTGTTTAGGGCTGTCTGGGCTGCTACTGTCCACTAAAAGCTTTGAGTGAGGTAGCCCTGTCTCGGCTTTTGCATTTAACTTCTGCTGCACTATCCCAGTAGTGCGGTGGGTTGCATTTCTGTTCAAGATTTTGCCCCACTCCCAAGAAAAGAGTAGCCAGCATCTTCTTTTTGAATTCCTAACATTATCATTATCGTTATTATACGGCCAAATATGCTTATTATACGGCCAAATATGCGTAAGTTTCAGTGTCGCTGGCTTTGGGCCTTCCTCGTCCTTCCCCTCACCCCCCTTCCAAGCATAACCTGACCAAGCCCCGGTTCTTTTCTGGGGAGGAATCCTGTCACCACTAGCATGGAATCCACTGCTTTCTCCTTTCCCCTTGGATAAAGTGAAGCACAGGAAGACAGAGCAAGTCACTTGAGTGCTGCTTTATTTTGTCTCTCTGTGCGTCTTCGTCCTTCCCCCAACACGCCATTCACGGAAACATAAGAACATGTAACCTGTTCAAGGAAGAATAATTTCCCTGAGTCATGTAGAATAAGAAAGAAATCCTTTCTGAGCTGCATGTATTCCCCCCCCTCCTCCTTTAATCCTCTCTTAGGAAAATAACAACTTCTTTAGTTGTCAGGGGGAAGCCGACATGATGGAATAGTCTCCCCCACACCCACCCACACCACCACACACCGCACACGATCAGGAGTGGAAAGGAGGATGTCCTAAATACAATACATAAAGTTTTTATACTATAACCTTTTAAAAGTGCATGTGTAGCGGGGTAGATTTCGCAAATGCCTTGGATAGACTCTGCTAATGGCAGAATATACTGAGATCTGCTTTGGTCAGAAGTATTTGGGATACATCCAGTAATTTTAGGGACAGACGCAATCTATAACATTCCAAATTTTAGGGAAAGTTTCCGCGGGTAATTTAAGGGCCACAGGTAATTTGAAATAAGATTCATGAAACCCGAAGATGGATGTGTGAGGCATACATCTTCAAACAGTCTGTTAAAAAAGAATAAGGTTTCTCGTGAAAATCTTCCTACACCAGCTTAAACAGAAGCTTTGAGTGATCCTTGCAGTCCCTCTATAGCTTATTCACCTACTTGCCTGCCAAAAGAAATCCCCTTTAACTCACATTGTTAAAGGGGAGAAGGAAGAGTCACTTTAACAACAAAGCCTTTGGAAACGACATCGCATACAAATAAACTCTTCTCCACCAATAAATAGCATCTTGTCTTCTGTCTGAAATTTCAGTACAAACAAGCGACATTAGTTCTGAGTACAGGATTCGCCTCCCAGCCTGATGGAAATTGTCCCCCTTCATTTCCCCCCTTCCCTTCGCTCCCCCCCCCAAGGCCTCATATTCACCACTCCAAATTTAGCAGCATTCCTTTGATAAATTACTCAAAGTAATCCCTGAAACAGCTAAAGTCTGACTGGTTGACGTTCTGTTAGAAGTGTTCGTAGTGGTATCTGCCTATAAAATATTCACTTGCGGACTACAAAGGGTGGATCATTTTTAATGACAAGATTCAGAACCGGAGGATGAAGCAGGGATGGGGTGAGGAGGGTGGGGAAAAGAGACTAACATCCTGGAATTCAAATCACTAATTTCAAGTACTGAACGCAGAACATTCTATCCTGCTTGTTTGAAACAGCGAGGCAGATAAAATTTGGCAGTCAGCTTAGGATTTGTCAGCGGAATACTAGTTGGAGGAGGGAAAGTGATAAATCTTCAGCGTCCCCCCTCTCAAACTTTTCATGGGCTGGGTGGGAGGGGAAGAATCCTTCTCTTTTCTGTCTTATGGGGATATCGATACTGTGGCAAGTAAGTTGGCCTTTTTGTCTGAGGGAGGGAGAAGCCCGTTCAAATGGTGAGCGTGGGAAGTGTGACCGCGCGCAATCAGAGTTATCAATTTCTGTCCATTCTGTTTAGGCTTCTTAGTTAAATCATGTGTTTGTTACAGCCACCCGAAGGAGCCCCGACTTGAAAGTGTAGCTTTTCAGTCATCTTATAAATGCATCCCTGAGGCTGCAGCTCTTGCGGCTTGAAGGCAGATTTCATTAAAACAGCCCAGCTGCCTCTTTGTGCCAGATCGGATTCTTCAAGCGATCACTTGTGAAGCCCCGGCTTCGGAGAGGGGCGCTTTTTTCCCCCTTCCCCCTTCCTTCCTCCTCTTCACCCCCCCCCCGCCCCCCGCGTTTCTTTTTCTGGTCCTTCTGCGTAGGCCCTTAAAAGTTGAAGTTTCATTCATGTGTTGTTGGGGTTTCTCGCTCTCCACTAAATCAGGCTCATTCGAGCCCCAGTGGAAAAAGCTCCGCCAAAGCGCAGGATTGAATGGTTCCTCGTATCGAAAGGTTAAAAGGGAACAAGATCAAAACAGCCCAGGCTCACAATAGTTACATTAAATGCGTCCTAGGCTAGCACATGTGCGTGCACACATCTCCAGGCTCGGCCTTTGAATTGGAGGGGGGAGGGGAGAAGGGAGGGGAGGGAGGGGAGGGAGGAGCAACAGCAGCAGTGCCTGTGTGCGTCCATCCGTACTGGGCTGTATTACAGCTTCTTCACACCTTAAGCCCATGGTATGGGTGCTATGTCCATGTATTTTAGGATCAAGGGGTAAAGCGGCAGGGCAAGGGGCGTGGGAGAGTGGGGAGGTCGCACGATCCTATGCAGGTTCGAATGGGCGCTAGTCCTACGGAGTTCAGTGGGCCTTAGTCGCCAAGCAAGTAGGCACAGAATTTCATACACTTTCCCCTAAGAGGCATGTGTCAGCTGCAAAGTTTTCATTTCTATGCATTAGTGGAAGGAAAGGGCTGTGAGAAGGGGGGAAGGGTTGAGGGGGCAGCCTGCCTCAATATGGAAGACTTTTTAAGATGGTAAGGTCTAACTGGATCAATTCAATCTGTGTGTTGCTTAGGAAATTTCACTGCCTGAACCCAAGTGGATTGCTGTTTTTGTTTTCTGTTAGTCCAGAAGTACAATTAAAGTTTTCATGGCATTTATCTGTGATCAGCAGATGAATCGATAAAGCTTAACAAACTCATTGTCGGTGTCCTGTTGGGATGGTTGACAAGTGAGCAGGGGAACCGTGTTGGATCCCAATCTGTTCGTGGGTGCCTATACCACCACAAAATCTTGCTCGAAATGTCTCGAGTGTTTTCTGTTTGTTTGTTTGTTTGTTTGTTTGTGTTTGTTTGGTAGGTTGTTTGGTTGTTTGGTTGTTTTAAATCATTTTGTATCCTGTGTCTTCCTTCTCCCTGCAAGAGAAATCTAGGGTTTGCTGTGAGAGATTCAGTGTTTGCCCACTTAACCAATGGGAGATTTCACAGCCCCAGCTGACAACAGGAGCCTGAAATCCACACAAGGTCCACCTCTGGAAGTGCTTTGATTTTGATCCTGCGCTCCCGGTAGGATCAGCCCCTGGAGCCCACCTTTGAACGGGACCTTCTACGCGCGCAGACACACACATACCATTCGACGTCGTCCCCCTCTCTATCTTTCTGTGTATATCCTTTTTTCCCCCTCCTATGGAGAATATTCTCAGGGAGCTATACTGGAATGAAGGAGATATCAAGGAGGCCTGTCAGTTCAAAGCTTTTTAAGGTTTGTTTGAAAATCCTCTTCCCGTCAAAGTAAGCAGCCCTAGTATTTGAACAGCTGCTTTGAACAGTGATGGGCGGGAAGGAGAAGAAGGACTGAGCTGAATGAAGAAAGAAAGAAAGAAAGAAAGAAAGAAAGAGGGGGGAAAGGGAGAGAGAGAGAGAGAGAGAGCGAGAGAGAGACCCATTGCCGCGTCTCTGCCCAAGACATCGCCTCACCTTCAACCTGCTTTTCTGTGGGCAGAGAAAAGGAAAGAAAGGCTCCGGGGACCTCTAATCCATCCAGGGTCAGCGCAGAGACAAAAGGGACAGGCACATGAATGTCTCTTTCACACTCCCAGCGCGTGGACCCAAACCGCTTCCAAGGACCCGCTTGGCCCGTTCCGAACTGAACGACGGAGTCTCCGGTTCTTGAAACCGCCCCCTCCCCGCCTGCCCGCCGCCCGCGCTCTGTGCTCCCTCGGCTGCTGCGCCCTCCCCCGCCCTGCAGTCAGACAACCGAAGCTCCTTTGCTGCTTCCAGCGGCGGCGGCTTCTTCCTCCGCGGACACAGAGAGAGGGAGGGAGGGAGGGAGAGGAAGAAGCGAGAGAAGGATGCTTATAAGAAACAATATTCATGACCGGGATAAGCAGAATGATGGAGACGGGGAGGCGGGACTTCTGCTTCTGGCGCCTCCCGAATTTCACCCACTTGCGCTCTGAGCACTTCCCCGCTGGGGAAATTCATAGAAGAGGTTGATTTCGTCGGTGTACTGTAGGGTGGGGGGGGGCAGGAAGGGGCTAAGAGGGGATAACGATGCATGAAGGAAAAGGAAACTAACCTTTTTGTTCCCCCGCCCCCTTTTTTTTAGGGCAACATGCTCTTGTTTTATTTATTTATTTTTACCATTCCGTGTTAAGCTGCTCTTTCTAACGTGTGTATGTGTGTGTGGCACGCAGTGGCCTCGTCCAAGGATTTGCAGCGCCTGCGCTGTTCCAGGACAGGGGGGGGGGAGTTAAGCCTGACAATTTAGTCGTCCTGTCCTGGGACGAAAACAGGATCCTGTTGCCTGGGCATCCCAGCTTGCCCGGCTTCCTAACAGCAACAGCTGCCTCTTTGCTTCCAACACAGACAAATGTGCACACGCACGCACACGACTGACTTCCCTCCTCCTCAGCGGGAAGAGGAGGACTAATTTCACGTGGCTAGTTAAAGTGTTGACCAGGAATAGAGGGGGGAAAGGAGGGGTGCCGCTGGCCGCTTTCCACTAATGCGAGGGGTGGGTTGGCCTGTTGGGAGATCTCTCTATTCAAGTAGACTGTCAGAGAACTCGGTGGGAGATGCGCCTAATAAGAGGCCATGGAAGGAGAAACTCACCCCCCACACCTTCTTGGCTTTCAACCCGCACTCCTGAAAGAAATCCTTGCAAACACCGGGCAGAACTGAGAAGAGTGCTTCCCTATTCCCAAACTCCTTTAATTGTGCAAACACCCTTTGCTTGTTTCCACTGACTTTCAGTGGTTCAAGACTGCACATCGTGTTCACTTAAAAGCACTTCAGTATGGTGTTTGGGAGGGACACTAGCCCAATTGCATTGTTCTTGTATGTTGTTCACAGCGTCCAGCTGCTTTGGGCTGATGAGAAACAGTACATAAGTGTTAACAAAGTAAACTGGGGCGAGCTGGGGAGGGGGAGAACTTCGGTGTAATCTTGTTAAACCCCCCGTAAACTATACGGTCAAATTCTACCGCAGCTCCGAACTATTGCTCCTGAAACAGCAAGGAGCGTTAAGGTAGCCTAAAAGGCTATGGCATAAGCTTTCCTGTGCTAGATTCCACTTCATCAGATGCATAGAGTACAACCCTAAATTGGCAGGCAGCTATACACACACTGGAGTGAGGCGAGATATGCCTCCCGATCCAGGATGAAAGTGGTCCAGGAAAGCTTATGCTATAATAAATCTGTTGCAGCGAAATCCTATACATGTCCAGTCTGAATGCCCTTCAGTTCAGTTGGACTTAATCTCAGGTGAGTGTGTAGAGGACGGCAGCCTGGTTAATCTGGTTGTTGATGTAACACAGACTGCTATTCTGTGGAAAGGCTGCGGTGAAAGTTATGGTATTGTATAGATATGATTGCATTAAATTTGTTCGAAGAAAACCAAACGTTTGCAATCCTGAAAAGTCTCGAGTCAAGACTTTTCCCCATATAACTTGCATATAAAGACGCCAACAGGCGTAAATTCTTTTCTTCCCCTTAGAATCTAGCAAAGTGGCCAGGCCAGGCCACAGCCGTGATGTGCACCCCCTACACAACAAGCTAACCCCTTGAGTAATTTATGTACGTTGACTTTTGTAATGTGACTTACGTAAGACATAAATAAACTGAAGGAGACTTTCTTCCAAATTCAGGAACCTGGTAGTCAGTTATGATCCTGTGCACACTTCCTCGAAAGTGTGAGACGTTCCACGGTGGAACAGACTCTCAGGAGAGGTGGCGGACTCTCCTTCCTTGAATGTTTTTAAGCAAAGGCCATCCCGTCATTTATGTTCAAGTTGAGATTCTTGCATTAAAGGAGGTTGGACTAGATGACACTTGGAGTCCCTTCCCACTCTGCAATTATATGATTCAATGTGCCATTGACACAAAGTATGACTGACTGGCTTCCAAGTGAACTGGTAGCTAGTTGGTCTGAAAGTACTGAAGCCTTCCTACAACCCTTGCTGTGTCCAGAACCTCTCTCTTCCTGTCCGTGTGCATCCTGTTTGTGGAACCTCTTGCTTGCGTGTGCAGACGCCTCTCTCACGCAGAGAAATGTTTCCAGCCAAATAGCCTTCGCTAGGATAATGAATCATGAAAAGAAAAACCTTCTGAGAAAAGCTACTTCTCGCTAGTGATGCTAGTAAATCTCCTCCCCTTCCTGCCCTGGTGTGGTATTTCGGGTAAGATCATTTGGAGTGTACATGGTGTCCATAAATGGTTGAGTTTGGTCGTAGGACAGTAAAGCTCTGGCTTCTCAAATTGGGGCTCTAACTTGGAGTTCCAGCGAAGTCTGATGCCAAGTGCCCCTTATTTTAAGGCGAAACCCAGCGTGGTCACAGAACACCACGGATGGTTCTGTCGTTGCTAAACATTCCGGCCCCTTAGACCTCAGCTCAGAAGCAGCAGCACAGCTTTAGCAAAATGCTTTTGGAAATGTTGGCAAGGATGTTATTTACTCTTAAGAGAACCACACTGGAGGATGGGCCAATCAGCATCACGGTGCATCTAAAGTTGTGGGGCGACACATGGGCTTAAAACCTACATCGATGGACTTATGGGATTTTGTTTTGTTTCCATAAATGTGCTTAACTGGGGAGGGGGCGGTAGCGGGGCGGGGGTTGTCCCATTCCCTCTCGCCTTTTCGTAAGCTCCTGCCCGAACAACAGAAAGAAAGAAAGGAAAGAGAAAAGTTGCAGGTCTGTAAACATACTGGTGATCCCCAGGGGAGTGAGAGCCTCGGCGATTCTGCGAACAATAGCAGTTGGCTTTGCCTCCGCGATTTGCAAAGTGTTAAGCCTTGAAATTCTTAGCGAATCCTAGTTTTGTTCTCAGGCAGCACCTGCTACTGGGACAGTTTGGGGACTTGACAGAGCCTCTCTCCCGAGGAAGCAGCAGCAGCAGCAGCAACATACAGCCCTCCCCTCCTCGCCCCTTTCGCCATGCAGTCATCTTTCTTTTCCAGCCATTGTGGAGAAGGGAGCAGCAGGTTTATCTCGGATTACTGGGTGCAAACACAAGGAGAAGCGCAACGGGGGGGGGGGAGGTGGTGAGAGACGTTTGGGAGAGAAGAGATATTGAAAGCTTGAAGTCCCTTCACTGGCTGCAATTCCCTTCACTGGCTGCACTTCTTTAGGACCAGATCCCACTGACACTAGTGGGGCTTACTGTAAACATGCGCGCATGGAGGAAGCGAGGCCGTCCCTCTCCTTCTAATGATGTAGACTGAGTAACTGGAAAGCAAGAGTCCCTGCGAAGTTGGCAGGCTGATATTTACAAGAAGTATGTACTGGTTTAATATATAAAGTTGCCCTTTCCTGCTAAACAGTATCTGGGAAATGTTGGGAGTCGGTTTACGGACGTGACGAAGCGGTGCGTGCTTGTGTGTGTGTGGATGCACCCGGTCCGCCTGCCAGCCAAGTCAAGAAAGGCATTGGACGGGAGTTTACAGGGGAGGCTCCCGCAACGAAGCCTGTGATTCTGGCAGGGCGTGATTCGGCCGATCCCGTCCAGTCTGCTGCTTGCCGCTTCCTTCAAAGAATACCTTCCCCTGAAAGGACGAGTCCTCCTTTGTAGCCTGGCAGACGGGGGCGGAGTGAGGGGGAAGGGAGGGCGCGGGTTGGGATGCGGAACGAAAGAGCGAAGCCGTCCTGCGCCTGAAAAGAACCCAACCAAGTTTCGGAAACAATGCGAGCAACAGGAGAGCATCCCCACCAGTAGCCTTAACCACGGCGCGCCTAGGGTCAGTTTGTGACCTACTTGCTTTTCCAGTAAAGATAGACAAAGGTGGTTTTCCTATGTGTCTTCTTCTTGTTGCAGTTGTTCTTCCTGTTTTACAGAGGAGGTGAGCATCCTCGGGTCTCACACACAGCCCCCGTTATCCGGACTCAGCCCATGTGGCTACAAGCAAAGGAGCTACACTTTTCATCATCATCATCATCATTATTATTCCCTTTCTTCCGTGTGTGTGTTTGTGTCTCTTCCCCGCCCCCGCCGCCACTTCTTTTCTGTTCCTTCCCCCTTCCTTCCTTCCCTCGCTCCCTGCTCCGAGTTTGATTACAAAGCGAGCGAGAGGGAGGCTGTGCGGGGGGCGTGGTGTCAGCGCCAGGGCCGGGGCCAATGGGAGGCTCCCCCTGCGCCGGTTGCTAGAGGTCTCCACGTAAATCAAAGCGCAGGGAGCCAATGGGGGCCGGAGGGAGGGAGGAGCGGGGACGCGTGCCTTTGCAGTGGGCTCTGCCAAGCGGACTTGCGGGGGAAGCGAGCGGTGAGAGGAGCCCGAGGCGAAAAAGTAGCTGTCAAATGCGCGGCTCCTTTAAGCGGAGCCCTCAGTCCGGCTCGGAGAGTCATGGCGACCACAGCGTCTAACCACTACAGCCTGCTCACCTCCAGCTCGCCCATGGTG